ACCCTTTCCGATTTTGAACCATGTAGTGTTTCCTTGCTCTGTTCTAACAACTGTCTCTTGGTCCAGGTATAGGTTTTGCATAAGTACAATCAAGTGTTCTGGGATCCCCATTCTTCTCAGAGTCAGCCACAGTTTGTTATGATCCACACAGCCTAATGCCTTTGCATAGTCAATGAAACACTGATAGACATTCCTCTGGTACTCTCTGCTTCGGCCAAGATCCATCATTAGCTATAATATTCTTAGTGCCATGGCCTCTTTTCAACCCAGCCTGCACTTCAGGCAATTCTCTGGTGATGAGCTGTTCCAGTCATTTTTGGACAATAAATAAATATAAGGAAGACCAAAGGAGGATTGACTTCTATGAATTGTGGTGTTGATGAAGAGACTTGATTGCCAAAAGAACAAGCAGATCTGTCTTGTAGGAAGTGTGACTGGGATGATCCTTAGAGCTAATGATGGTGAAACTTCATCTCACATAATTTGGTCATATTATCAAGAGATGCCAACCCTTGTAAAAGGACATCATGCTTTAGAGGGTCAGTGAAAGGAAAGGAAGACTTTCGCTGAGATGGATTGACACAGTGACAACAACACCAGTGGGGGTCAGCACAGTGGAGAAAGCGAGGGTGGTGCAGGGTTGAGCTAGGTTTTGGTGCATAAGGTCACTCTGAGTGGCGGAGTCACTTTGACATCACCCCACGCCAACAGTGGGATGGTGAGCATTCTGTTTCCTGTTGTTGTTTGTTACTGAGTCTTTGCTGATAATGACCACAGAAGACAAAGAAAAACTGCCCTATAGTCTTTTCTTGACTATAATTTTTACAAGAGTTCTTTACTAGGTCTTTTCTTTTTCAGAGCTGTTAATTGTTCAATCTTTTGACTTTACAGTTAGGAGTCAAGTGCTTAGCTAATGCGCTACCAGAGAGGAAGGCCCTCTATGAGGTGGATTGATTCAGTGACTGGGGTAATAGGGGTAGGTGTGTCAGAAACAGATTGGCACAGAACAGAGCAGAGTTTAGGGCTGTTGTACATATGGTTGCTATGATTCACTTGTGACTCGGTGGCACATAACAACAAGGGCTTAGTGGTAAGGAGTTGAACTGCGAACTCAAAGACATACAGTTTGCATTCATCAGCTGCTCTGCAGGAGAAGAAGGGGCAGTTTCCTCCCATGCAATTTATTACCTCCGAAAACCCACTGGAAAGTCAGCTCTGAGCCAGCTCCAACTTAGTGGGACATAACAACAACATATGGAGCTCTGGCGGTGGAGTCCATAGGAAGTTGTGCTGCTCACCCAAAGTTAGGGCCTCTGAAAGATATCCACCAGTCACTCTTTGGGACAAAGATAGTCAATCTCCTCTTGTGGGATTTCCAGCCTTGGTTAACGACTGTTGAGTCAACCATGAATTGGTTCCAACTTACTGGCAATGAGAAAAAAAAATTTAGAAATTTCTTTTCCCCATTAGTTCTGTTGGTTTGGGGAATTTTGATTATTTGTGGAAATGAAACTCGTCGTATCACTGTTGTTATTACGTGTCATTAAGTCAGGATTGACTCGGAGCTAACCCTCCCATGGGTTTTCAGAGGTAATGACAGCACAGGAGGAAATTGCTCATCTTTATCCGGTTGACTAGCTAGTGGATTCAAACTGTGTACCTCTGGATTGGCAGTGTGACTCCTTACCACTAGTCCACCAGAGCTCCCTAGATACCACGAGGATCCGAGGACCCGTGTTAAAAGGATGGCTGATGTGCTCAACTGCTAATCAAAAGGTTGACCGGGGTAGGGGGTGGGGTTTGGGGAGGTGGGGG